CTATACACTTTTAGCCCAGCATGTTTTCAATGTTCTGGAAATGTGTGTTTAAAAAAGTTAGACTACACTGATCAATACTATTATCAGAATTACTTTTTAAAAATAGAAATCTGAACTGAATACTTCCTTACTTAAAAGCCTTTAATTACTTCCTGTTGCCTCCAGGATAAAGACCAGTCGGCTTAGCATTATTTAGAAAGACTCTTTCAAAGCTGTCCATCTAAATCAGTGCTTCTCAAACTATCAGTGGTGAAAGGTCATGATCTCCTCTTCTCAATCTTTCAAAGACTGATTTTTAAGAAGAAATCATTTTAAAAATGAAATATAAAAATATACACAAAATACAATGTCATTTTTAAAAAATTACTAAATATAATAGACATCTTTTACTGTGCCATTTTGCAGGAAGGTTTCTAAATGCTTATTTACAATTTTGGTATTTATTTGTGGGCCAAGCATCAATTTGCAGTTTGTATTTGGAACGCTGGTCTTACTTTTTCCGGGCTTTCTGCTACATCTAGAGACTTTACACTGGGTTATTTTATAGCCATATATGTGAATGTCTGTATATACATACATCACTGAAATTTGTAAAGTAATATATTTTGGTATAGTTGTTATCACCTGCTGACCAAACATGACCTGTTATCACTTGACTATGGCTTTTTAAAGAAATCTGATGGATTAGTTGGGGGGGATTTGTCTCCTTCCAACCAATTATTCTTTTATTTTTGATTTTGGATCACCCAGAGACATCTTTTTTGCGGTGTGGGATTAACAAACAAGTTCTGAGCCATCTGTACAGAAATATTTTTTCCTAAGAAGCCTTTTCTGTCTTGGGACTCTAATTCTATACTTCTTTAGTTACACAAATAGAAAATGTTTGAGTAACCCATTTCCCAGCCAGCCATGCCCCATAAATCCATAAATTCTCAGATTATTTACAAAAAGCAGATATAGCCTGACATTTTAAAATAAGGGACTTTGTTATCTATCAGCAACCTTAAGTGTTGTTGGGAGGTCTGTTTTGAGGGGAATCCCTCAAGTTGAAAGAGTGGGCCAAAGGCAGGCTGTAAATGTTTCCTCTTCACTCCCTTTTGGTATACTCAGATCTACTTTATTATTGTAATGACTGAGAGTTTAAATTTTTCAAAAGTTTTGCTGTTAACAATGCAGGGGCTGGGGTTGTAGCTCAGTGGTAGAGTGCTCGCCTCTCATGTGGGGGGCACTGGGTTTGATCCTCAGCAACACACACACACACACACACACACAAATAAAGGTAGTGTGTCCATCTACAACTAAAAAAATATTAAAAACAAAAAGCAAACAAACAAAAAAATCCTTAAACCAAAAAAACCCAGTGCAGTAGCTGGTGCCACATGCCTGTCATCACAGCAACTCTGGAGGCTAAGGCAGGAGAACACCAAGTTCAAGGCCTGCCTGGGCAATTTAGACCCTGTCTCAAAAAAGGACTGGGAATGTAGCTCAGGGATAAAGCTCCCGGGTTCCATCCATAGTTTAAAAAAAAAAAAAAAAGTAAACATGCTTGCCATACAGAGTGTCTGTTTGCAATTATTTCTTTAGGAGAGACTTTCAGAAGTAGAAATTCTGGGTAAAAGAAATGAAAATTAAATATATGTTAATACATTTATTGACATTGCTAAATCTTTCTCCTAAAAGATTATGCTGATTTATACTCCAATCTCTTTTTCCATGATATCTGGAGCATAGGGTATTGTTGATCTTTAATAAATTAATAAATGTCAAGTTTATGGCATCTTAACTGTTTTATGTTTTAGCTTTCTTTCTTTGCCTTAGAGAGGTTGATATGTTAATTACCACCAAGCTGCTCTTGTCAGTGTTTTGGGGCTGTATACTGTTATAGAAAAAGATAGTGCCATCCTGGCTGCCTCTGTTATTCAGTCACCTATCAATGGGTAGTAGTAAGGGTTGCCGGAGTGAGTCAGAGAGCACATCAGAAGTAACTTGAGATGCCCTGTTCAGCATTTCTTTTGGGGGTTCCCATTGAATCCAGTGAGCATTTGGATGGACTGCTTGGACCTTTTTATCAATGCTGATGACATCCCTTATGTTTTTTTTTAAATATTTTTTTAGTTGTAGATGGACACAATACTTTTATTTATTTTGTTTGTTTATTTTTATGTTGTGCCAGGGATCAAACCCAGTGCTTCATGCCTGCTAGGCAAGCACTCTACCACTGAGCCACAACCCTGGCCCCCCTTATGGTTTTTAGTATGATTTCTTGCTTAACGAGCTTGATTTAGAAGATAAGATCTCATTCAACCATTGTATCTAGGTTGATATAAGAAAATTTTGATTGTATAATACTCATATTTCTTTGGTTCATTTCAGCAGTGTATCACTAATAAAAAGGATTAGTGACAAAATGTCATTTTGGTTATAGCAAAGGGAATTGTTAGCCTTTTGAGCCTTGATTACATTACATTTTAGGCTAATTTGAGCAAATGACTGGAATTAAAAATCATCATCCATAAAGTGCTGTTTTGGGTGGCTTCCTTCTGGAAATTCTGATGACTAGTAAGAGTTTAGGATACTACTTGGGATTTTTCTTTTTTTAATCTCTAAAATTTTACACTTTATTATTATTGTACTGGGATTTATTTATTGTTGTTTTTATTATTATGTATTAGTGATTGAACCTAGTGGTGCTTAATCACTAAGCCACATCCCTCATCCTTTTTATTTTTTATTTTGAGACAGGGTCTTACTAAGTTGCTCAGGGCTTCACTAACTTGCGGAACTGGCCTCAAACTTGTGATCCTCCCACCTCAGCCTCCCAAGTCACTGGGATTACAGGTGTGTACCATCATACCCAGCTGATACTGGGAATTGAACCCAGGACCTTGCACATGCTACTTTTTTTTTTGGTACTGGGAATTGAACCCAAGGGCACTCAATCACTGAGCCACATCCCCAGCCCTATTTTGTATTTTATGTAGAGACAGGGTCTCACTGAGTTGCTTAGCGTTTCGCTGTTGCTGAGGCTGGCTTTGAATTTGAAACCTTCCTGCCTCAGCCTCCTGAGCCTCTGGGTTTACAAGCATGTGCCACTGTGCCTGGCAAGTGGTCTACTATTGAGCTACATCCCCAGCAGGTTTTTTTTTTTTTATTTTAAATTTTTAAAATTTTGGGACAACATGTTGCCAAATTAATTAGGATGGCTTTGAACTTGTGATCATACTGACTTAGCCTCCTGTGTAGCTGGATTGCAGATGTGTGCCACTGTGCCTTATTTCAAATGTTCTTTTCCAGCTCAGCTTCCTTTAAAAAAAAAGTAAAATTTACACACAATAATGTATACCCTTTAATGAATTTTTATAAATATATACATCTGTATAAAAAGTATCCCAATCAAACCATAGAGCATTTCCTTTATACCTAAAACCTCCCTGAATCCCATCCCAATGTAGGGGAGGAAAAATATCTTTCCTTCTACTCTTCTATATTCTCAGGTGGGGCCGCTGTAATAATGAATTAGAAATAAAACAGGTGTGGTGCACAGCTATAGTCCCAGCTACTTGGGAGTCTGAGGCAGATCCCTTAAGCCCAGGATCAACCTGGGCAACAGAGACCTCGTCCCCCGACCCCAGTACCTCTTTTCAGCAGCACATATATTGGAGTTAGAACAATACAGAGTGGATTGGCATGGCCCCTGTGCAAAGATGACACAAATTTGTGAAGTGTTCCATATAAAAAAACAATAAAAAAATCACATTTGTTTAATATAAGTTTTATGTGAAACAGGAGTCTTCATAAGGAAATGAAACCCAAAGAAGCAGTTAAACCTCAACATTTTAATACTAGTTTTGATGAAGAGTAGAGTTGTAGAAAAATATATAATAAGTTTGAATCCCAAAAATAGTATGCTGGGGACTTAGGATTATAGCTGTGTGGCCGGCACATGCTTGGCATGCACAAGGGCCTGGGTCCTATTCCCAGCCCTGTAGCGGGAGGGAAGAAAACTGACGAAAACCAGACAATCTGTAGTGACTCCATTCATGAGAAGCTGGATAACTCACAGACTAACCATAACTATAGATTTGTTTACTGGAGCAGTGTGGAAGAGTGTTGACTAGTAATGGGGTTCAGAACATGCTACCCCTACATACCATGCTTTGGTGTGTTGATGATCATCAGCTGAAGCAATGTGAGAAATAACAGATGCAGGAAAGACTTCCTCGGAAGCATGTCAAAAGCTCCTCACCTGAAAGGTGGTGTCCTTCCTCTGCCCAGAGGACAAAAGCATCTTTATCTCCAAAGATGGGCACATCGAGAAGGCTCAATACACAGGCCTAAGTCTTCCCTAGTTTCCTCTGAGCTCAGACCCCTGTTGCCCTATCACATTTTTCTGTAATTCTCTTTATCAAAACTAGTATTAAAATGCTCAGGTTTAACTGCTTCTTTGGGTTTTTATTTCCTTATGAAGACTCCTGTTTTCTATTTTTCCTTTTTGTTTCTGAATTATTTATATACTCTTATTTATCCATTTGTTATTAGAAATTTGGGTATTCTAGTTTTGGGCCTTTATAAATAAAATTGCTATGAACTTTGATGTACAAGTCTTTTTGTGGACATATATTTTATTTGGGTAGATATTTATGAATGGGAGAGCCAGTGTATTTTTAACTTTATAAGAAATTATTTTTCTGTACATTTAAAGAAAAAAACTACCAAATAATTTTCCAAAGTGATTATGCCATTTTACATCCCTTAATTAGCAAAATATGATAATTTTAGTTGCTTTGCAGTTTTGTCAACACTTGGTATTGTCTCTTTTTTTGGTTTTTAAAATTAAGCCATTTGAGTGGACAGGTAGTGGTACCTCACTATGGTTTTAATTTAAATTTCACAGGGACTTTTGATGAATGTTTTTAAAGTTTTCTTTATTTTTTCTGCAGGATTATAGACATATTTACTGATGGAATTCATCCTTGTATTTAATTTTTTTTTTTTTTTAGGTTTCTTTAAAGGTGATTGAAACAATTAATCCAAAATGCCTGAAAATCCTGCCACAGGTATACTAGATATATAGTTTTGTTATGAAATTAATGACTGATTCATAAATGGAATATGAGATCGTATTTAACCTGTCTTCTGGTTATTCTTCTTCAACCAAGATAAACTGCAGGTCCTACAGGTCCTTGATCGCCTGAAAATGAAATTGCAGGATAAGGGTGACACTTCACAGAACGAGAAACTGAGTATGTTTTATGAGACACTAAGGAGTCCTCTCTTCAACCAGATACTCACACTGCAGCAGTCCATCAAGCAACTGAAGGGGCAAGTAAGTTAGCATGGAAGAGCTCTGTGTTGATGTGTAAAACCAGTGAGAAAAGACAGGAGGAGACGATCAAGGACAAGCTGTCTGTGACAATCTTGTCTCAGCAAAGACCAGACATGGGCCTGCAGCCTGTGGGTAGCATTAGCATAGTTAGTTTTAAAATGTTGATAATCAAGCGGGTGTGGTGGCTCATGGCCTGTAATCCCAGCATCCCTGGAGGCTGAGGCAGGAAAATCGCAAGTTCAAAGCCAGTCTCAGCAACTTAGCAAGACCCATCTCAAAAATATAAAAAGGGTTGGGAATGTGCTTAGTTATCAAGTGCCCCTGGGTTTAATCCTCAGTACCAATCAATCAATCAATCAATCAATAAATAAGATAAAAACTAAAAACAGTGTTGATAATTAATTTTATGTTGAGCTTTGGAATATGGGTTTTCTAAACATATAAAGGTTAGAATTAGAGAATTCTGAACATTTTCTTCAAAATTATAAAATGGTGGTTAACTTAATTTTTTTTCTTTTTGGAGTTGGTGATTGAACCCAGGACCTTGCAAATGCTAAGCTTGTGCTCTACCACTGAGCTATATATCCCAAGCTTCTTGACATTTCTTCTTCTTCTTTTTTTTCTATTTAGTCGTGGGGATGAACCCAGGGGCAATTTACCAATGAGCTATATCCCCAGTCCTTTGAATTTTTTATTTTAAGGCAGAGTCTCATCGAGTTGCTAAGGCTGGCCTTGAACTTGGCACCTTCTTGCCTCAGCTTCTTGAGTAGCTGGGATTATAGGGGTGCACCACTGCTCTGGGCTTGACATTTGTTTTTAACGTTAACTTTATTCCATTATGTTGAGCTGTATCAGCCAGTGATATTTTAAAAATCCTGTTTTTTTGTCATTATAGGATTCTTTTCTATTAATGTTTAAGTGGCTCTGTGACTCACTCGCTATTAATCTTGTGTCAGTTTCTTAACCCCTGAGTGCCTCATTTTTCATGTTCATGAAAATGAGATAATGATATTTCATAGAACTATTGTCAGGATTAAATGAGGTTATAACATGCCAGAGTCTCAATACAATACTTAGCCCTTAGTAAGTATTCAGGAAGTACTGTTGTTATTGATGTATACTATCTATGGATTTTTTTTTGTGGCTTTGCATGTGGAAATGTACAGATAAATGCCATAGGGCTTAGTGTCTTGTGCTTATATGACAGGTTGCATCTGTGTGTGTGAAGGGTAATGAGACGTTAGTGTACATTCTATGAACTTGGGGTAGTCACAGAAGGCAGGAAACAAGAACAGATTTTAAGGTATTTGACATTTTTGTGTAATATTAAATTTAGAAATTTTAGCCTTATGGGCACACAGATTCGTTTTTATGCACCTTATTTCTTTCATACATGTTTTTTAACATACAATTTATACCCATAATGAGCAAAAGAGAATATGTAATAAATAGAAATGATTTCTTTTTTGAAGGTTTCTGTTGATGGTTCTCTTGTTTTTCTCTCCACCAGCTCAGCCATATACCCTCGGATTGTTCAGCCAACTTTGATTTTTCTAGAAAAGGTTTGTTAGTGTTCACGGATAGTTCTATTACAAGTGGGAATGCCCACAGGCCCTGTAATAATTTAACTGCATCTGGGTTGTTTCCGTGGACCGCAAAGTTGGGAAATGAAGACTTTAACTCAATCATTCAACAGATGGCTCAGGTAAAGTTATACCTTGTCATGGGAATATTTAGCTTTATCTTTCCTGCTTCAGGTTTAAAAAGAAACCCACTCTTTTTGTCTTAACATGTGTTATGTATTTGCTTTTGTTTTTATGTTGAAAGGAGGAATTGGCACCCTTTTCTAACCTGTGTTTTGGAATTTTATTATCTTAAAATCACACAAGAAAATGTCCATGTGTGAGGTGAGGAGAACTTTTAGGAAAAGACTTCAATTGAACACATCTCTATTCTTATAAGGAAAGAGACTTATTTATTTGTTGATACTGGGGATTAAACCCAGGGGTGCTTTTACTACTGAGCTCCATCCCCAGCCCTTTTTACTTTTATATTGAGACAGTGTCTTGCAAAGTGGCCCATGTTGGCCTTGAGCTTGTGATCCTCCTGTCTCTGCCCTCTGAGTCTCTGGTATTATAGGCATGTGCCACCGTATCCAGCAGGAAGAAGATTCTTACTGGTTTTGATCACAAGATGAAACATTGAAACAGTTTTAAATTTTATATCAAAACAGAATTAGTGGGAGTTGGAACAAATACAATTTAGAAAATTGGGGGAAAAAATTGACAGTTGTAGCTTCTGCTACCTTAAAAATTAAATAATAGTCGAACTTTTGAATATGTTTTGTGTTTGTTCAACAGTCTTTAAAAATGAAACTTTTGTTTGAAAAATTAAAAAGAATCTGTTTAAGATGTGATATTTAACTAGTGTTCTGGACTACTTTTTTTGCTTAATAGTTCTGGTCCCTTCATGTGATGATCTTGTTAGTTGATTACATTTATAAAGTTCACATAAAAGCAATTATTAACTAAAGTAATCAAATTCCTACATGTCACAGGTAGAACCAATTTGAATGGTGGCCTTTCCACAGTCTTTTGAATTGATTGAATAAATGGAATAGTAATTCATCACTATAGAATTAAAAACAGAACTCTAAAGAGTTGCTGGTTCTGTGTAGGCTTAATACTAGTGTATTTTTGATATATCCAATATACTTTTCCTCATTAAAAAATTGAATTTTGCATCAAGAGAATTTAGGGAAATTCAATATAAAAAAGTAATTTAGAATTTACTGTGGGAAAGAGCATTTTTCTTAGGCATTCTCATCCAGCTTGGGATTCATCGCGAAATGTGAATGAAGTGTGAAAATACCTCTTCAATTCCCTAAGGTTACAGTGCTGCACACTCTCTTTTGTTTTCTACTGAAAATAATCAAGTTAGAGAGTTCCTGGAATAATGTATTACTGAAATGCTGAGTTATTTTGAGTTTATTTGGTTTTGTAGAAATGTCTCAGAGAAGCTATTTTTCTGCTAAGCAATTTCAGTTCTGTGGAAAGGGTGCATTGGTTAAATGTAGATTCATTGACATTTATATTTTTCTTTTATCCCCCTTCATTAGGGCCGGGAAATTGAATATATAGATATAGAACGGCCTTCAACTGGAGGCCTTGGATTCAGCGTGGTGGCCCTTAAAAGTCAAAATCAGGGAGAAGTTGATATCTTTGTGAAGGAAGTACACCCAGGGAGTGTAGCAGACAGGTAAGGATGGTGTTCATTTTATACTCTGCTAGTTTTTTTCTGATGATTCTGAAAGCATTATTATACAAGAGTATAAGAAACTAGTGCTAAAAGCAGTAACAATAGCAGCTAACAATTCCTTTAGCACTTCCTATGCGTTCATCAGGCCTTTTATAGATGTTCTTTCATTCACTTGTGGCTGCAGTCCAGCAGTGCAGGTGTTACTACTCCATTTTATAGATGAGACAGCTGAGGTTCAGAGAGGGTCAGTGGTTTTCCTGTAGTCACAGAGCTATTAATGCTGGGACCATGATGTGATTCTTACAGTAACTGCAAAGCAGCTAGTGCTCTTTCCACTGTATCACTCTCTCACCCAATTGGTGATCACTAGGATGGTAATTTTTTTCTTTTTTTGTATTGGGGATTGAACTGAGGGGTGCTTAAGCACCCCAGCCCTTTTAAATGTTTTTATTTAGAGACAGGGTCTCACTTAAGTTGCTTAGGGCCTTGCTAAGTTGCTGAGACTGGCTTTGAACTTGTGATCCTCCTGCCTTGGCCTCCTGAGCTGCTGGGATTATGGGTGTGCATCACTCAATGGATGGGAATCATTCTCATTCTGCATACTACATTGTTTATTAAATTGATAGTTATAACACATTATTGATTATTATGCTTATTGTTAAGAGGCCCCTCAATCTATGTTATCCTTCATGGATTGCACTTCTTTAGGTTTTTAAGAGTGATATGCTGGCCTTATATTTTTATCTCTATTTGATTTCCAGTCTTTGGTTTATTATTCATTTAATAAATAATACTATTCACACGTGCCTGTTAAATAAAAGCAATGTCACAGTGTATGATTATAAAAATTCTCAGCCAATAATATAATTTTGAACTCACATTCTCTGTATATGGTGATTACTTCTAGTTTCCCCAATTAAAATTGGATATAATGGATTTTCATGATTTTCCATCTTTATTCTGCCATCTAATGTTGCATTTCAAATGTTTTGTGGGTCCATAGCTGTGGTCAGATATATTTTAGAAACTCTATCCTGTCTGTTCTTCAATACTGGGTGTACATAGTTAGGGTGATCTTATGATTTATTGTTCAAGTTAGGATGGTTTTGGGTTGAAGTGGTATGCTGTTAATAATGAAACAGATAGTAGGTATAAACTTGAACTCTTCTTAGGCAATACAGAATATATCTAGACTTATAATTGCTTAACATTAAGCTCATTTAATATTGATTAGCCAACTTTTTTTTTAATTCCAGTTTTTTTCCTTTTAAATATTAGGATATAATTAACATAAACTTAATTTTAAAGTGTACAAGGTCATGGGTGTTGTTATATTCACAATGTTCTGCAGCCATTCCCACTCTTTAATTCCGGTACATTTCTACCACCCAAAAAGGACTTTTTAATATACCTAGTTCCTTCCTCCCTCCATCCCCTGGCAAGCACCAATCTACTTTCTTTCTTTTTTTATCTTTATTTTTTGTTTTTTATGTGGTGCTGAGGATCGAACGTGCTAGGCAAACGCTCTACTAGTGAGCTACAGCCACAGCCCCACCAATCTACTTTCTTTAAACAACATGTTTTAAGTTCTTTGTAACACCTTGGAAAGTACTGATCTAATGTATTTATTGTCCTTCCTGACTGTGTTATTATATACTTGGTGTTTAGATGCATGAATGCTCTTGATGAAACGTTGAGCAGCATTCCATGGCATGGGGGTTGAGTCTTCACTACAAATTAACCTTCCAGTACCATAATCTTCAGGCATGTCTGTCAGTGATCCATACAGTTGTCCTGTTTTTCAGCATCGGCATCTCCATTCCTTTATAAGATAATCGTAAGAAGCTGTCTTAGTCTGTTTTGTGCAGTGATAACAGAATACCTAGGACTACACACATTTATAAATAGCACATTTATTGGCTCATAGTTCTGGTGGCTGAGAAGTGCATTGTCAAGGTGTTCACATCTGGTGAAGGTCTTTTTGCTGTATAATTATGTGGTGGAAGCCAGAGGGGGGAGAGGAGACAGAAGGAAGGGACAAATTGGCTTGTGCTTTTGTAAAGAATCAGTCCCACCATGAGGGTGAATCCTTAATGGCCTGATTGCCTCTTAAAGGTCCCACCTGTTAATCCTATTACCATGGTAGCTGAATTTCAACATAAGTTTTGGAGGGGACAGACATTCAAACAGCAGCAAGCTTGTCAAATACCTTATTGACATGTTACTATCCAATATCCCTATCATATTTCCCTGATCTACCACATAGGAAATTGAATACATGTAGCCTTTGATCCTGAGTGCTCAGAAATAGAACCAGTATCTATGAGGCAAGGTTATTTATGGTAGATAATCTTTTATTAGAAAAGGATAACTTAGCCAATGCACACTTTGGCACATGCCTCTCATCTTAGCAACTTGGGAGACTGAGGTAGGAGATTTGTAAGTTCAAGTCCAGTCTGGGCAACTTAGGGAAATCCTGACTCAAAATGAAAAATAAAAAGAACTGGAGATGTAGCTCAATATTAAAGTACCTCTGAGTTTAATACTGGCTTTCAGTATTTATTTATTTTTTTTTTAAAGGTACTTATAGTTTCATTAGGCAAAGAAGTCTTGTAGTATTAGTCTGAATGTTGGTTTTCTATCTAGCTGTGTGACCTTGGTCAAGTTACTTATTTTGCTAAAAATTTTAGTAGTTGTGTTTCTTTTTTTGGGGGGGGGAAGGGGAGGAGGGGTAACTGCAGATTGAACCCAAGGGTGCTTAACCACTGAGTCATATCCCCAGGCCTTTTTATTATTTTATCTTGAGACAGTCTTGCTAAGTTGCTGGGGCTAGCCTCAGACTTGAGATCCTCCTGCCTCTGCCTCCTAAGGCTTTTGGATCACAGGCGTGTGACACTATGCCCAGCTTAAAATTTTGTTTCTTTGATGTGTAAAATGGCAATGTTATGTTAAGATACAGATGAAATAATATTAATAAAGCTGATTGAGTAGTGCTCAATACATAGTAAGGGCTTCTGTGTTCACATGTTCCTTATTCATGGATCTAATCAACCATGATTGAAAATATTTGAAAATCATGTTTGTACTGAATGGGTACAGACTTTTTTTTTGTCATTTTCCCGTAAACAATACAACATAACAATTTTTTAATATACCATTTATATTGTATTAGGTATTATAAACAATTTAGTGATGACTTAAAGTATATGGGAGAGTATGCATAGGTTATTTGCAAATACTGTGTCATTTTATATAAGAGACTTAAGGATCATGGGCTTTTTGGTATGAAGTAGTCCTAGAACCCATCACCCCCATGGATTTTAAGGGATGAATAATAGTATTTGTTCCTCTTATGGCAACATACAAAGTAGCATGATTTACTTCATACAGTTTTTTTCTTTCCTCATATTGGGATTGAATGCAGGGGTGTTGTACTGCTGTACTACATCCCCAGTCCTTTTTAAAAATTTTATTTTGAGACAGTGTCTCACCAGGTTCCTGAGACTGGCCTTGAAGTTGCAGTCCTTCTGCCTTGACCTCCTGAGCACCACTGCCTGGCTTAATAAGTCTTTAAGACACTATATACATCTTCCTATTTTCCTCCCAGTAATAGGGTACTGATTCACTGTGGGATGCCTGATGATTTATATACATCATTATTTCCGTAGCTCCCAACATACTAAATAGCATATAGTAGTTGCTTAGTATCTATTTGTTTAACGAATGATAAGTAAGTGAACTATCATTTATTTGTGTTACTGGGATTTTGAATAATCAAAGAACAAAGTTTGTGTGCCTGTATGTTTGAACTTTTGCTTTCACTACATTAATAGAGGAAAAAAAACCAAAACAAATAGTAATGCAGTAGGCTAATAACCTGAGAAAATACTGTAGATGGTGACTTTAGTATTCTTTGCCAAAATACATTAAAAATATATAAAACAAATTGAATAACAAATGATATGGCTAGTGTGGACCACAGATGAGAGGGAAGATATGAAAATGTGTAATGTATAGGAATACAGAAAACATTTACAAAGAACTTCTCAAATTTTTACCAACTCATCTTGCTGACTAGAAGATAATGAGGAAAGAACTGGTGTTTAATGCTTTAAAATGAAAGCCTAGCAGCATGGTGGTGCATACCTCTAATCCCAGCGAGTTGAGAGGTTGAGGCAGGAGGATTGTAAGTTTGAGGCCAGCCTTAGCAACTTATTGAGACCCTGTCTCAAAACAAAACAAAACAAAACCAAAAACAAAACAAAAAAGAAGGCTGAGGATGTGGCTCTGTGGTTATGTACCCCAGGTTCAATCCAAATAAATAAATAAATAAAATTTTCTAAATAAATATAGAAAAATTTCCAGTGGAAACAAATTTTCGCCATATTTTTGTTCAGTGGATAAAGAAAAATCCCAGATATATATTTATTTTTTTCCATGATAAATTAAAGTAACTTATAAAAATGGTTTATCAAATTTAAGAAAAACAAATATTTTAAGTATGTTATTTTGGTGCTGCTTTAGTAACTACTTTTTGTTTTACACTCCATAGTACTTTCCCCGCAAGCTGTTTTTTTCTTTTTTGTTGCTCAGTTTTGAACCCAAGGCCTTGCGTGTGCTGGATATGCTCTCTGTCATTGAGTCACACTTCCAGACCTCCCCTAAGCTTTATTTTCTTTTGGTACCAGGGATTGAATTCAGGGGCACTCAACTACTGAGCCACATCCCCAGCCCTATTTTGTATTTTATTTAGATGTAGGGTCTCACTGAGTTGCTTAGCGTCTTGCTGTTGCTAAGGCTAGCATTGAACTTGTGATCCTCCTGCCTCAGCCTCCCGAGCCACTGGGATTATAGGTGTGCACCACTGCACCTGGCTCATCTAAGCTTTCTTGAAGAAACAAAATGGAAGCTTTTCTGTGAGGGAGCAGCTTGTATTTTTAATAGACATTGTTCCATATGGCACTGTTACACACACCTGCTGGAAAAAGTTGGGAATTAGAAGTAGTAATAAGAGGTGGCAGTGAGACATGAGCAAAATAGAGAGGTGCCGGGAAGCTTTCCCTGCACAGGGGAGGTATATCTTCATCCGCCTATTCATTATTTAACTTTTTAAAATATTTGCTCAGGATGGTCTTGAACTTGTGGGCTCTTGTGATCCTTTTCCTTCAGCCTGCAGAGTATCCTGAACTGTAGGTGCCATCATGCCTGGCTTTTAACAGATATTGAATTTTGATTGTATGCTATGTTTTGGGTATAAAATGTTAAACAAAAGAGACATTATTCCAACCTGCTTGTAGTCAATTATTATGTCTCAGTACTTTTTAGTAATAGGTCTGTGATTACAAATTGAATGTTTCGAAAAAGAGGAAGTTGATGATTTGAGTGGATAAGAACCTTGACCAATGGCAAGGAGTAAGGTGGCTTCTCAGAGGCAATGGGAGACTTGGAGAGACAGCAGGGTCTGAAGAGAACAGAATGTATTGGGGAATGGAATAGCTCATTACCCTCATGAAGAGATGGAAATGGAACACAGGTCCTATGCTTGGAGCGTGATTGCTATTTATTTGGAGGAGAATAATACAAGATGATGCAAAAGGGGCAGAGGGAGAGGTAGGTGCCAGCCATACAGGACCTTCTAGATATGCTAAAGGGTCTTCATGATCTTGATCAGTACTTCCTTTCTTCTGAGGACTTTCCACACAGATACTTGCCTAACCTGCTGGCTGTCAAAGTCATGGAAATCCACTATTTCTGAATGTTGTGATGGAGACACAAGAACTTGTTTCCTCTTGAATGGAAAGTGTGAATTCAATATGTGTGTGTATATAAAAATTAGTATGAGGGAGCTAAATTGCATATATGTTTATATGGTATAATTATGTATAATTATATAAACTACAAATTAGTGTGGGGAATTTAATTGTATATATAGTATAATTATATACTAAAATATAAGTATAAATAATTGCATGGAGGAATTAAGTAGAATGTGTCAAAAAAAATCCAAATTTTCCTCGGTAGTTTATTTATCCTGGATTGAGTTTATATTCCCTGAGCAGATTTTATCTTGGAAAGAATGGATTTTTAACTCAGAGAGAAAGGAAGTGTCCTTGAAGTCTATTGGGTAGGGGAAAAGGTAGATTAAAATAGATTGATTTTTAGAAAATAGAAAATCCAGGGGTGAATTAAGGACTTATGAAAAATGAGTTAGATCAGGGCTAAAAAGATTTAAATGTATCTCACTCATTTAGGATTAATTAAGAGAGTCCCTGGATGAACATGCTGTGAATAGAAATTTAGTTGAAGAAGTTAGAGAAAGGGGGATATGGAGATGGAAGAATGGAAATGATTCCTGTATATTGTCCTGTAGTATTTACATTTAAGAAGAAATGTTTCTTTAATACCGGGGAGATGCTTCGCAAGCAGCATTCTCAAAAAATATTCTAAAATTATGAAAATCTGTTATGCATATAATAAAAAACTATAAAGTATGGAAATATAGTAAGTAAAAATAAAAGTCTCAAGATACTTGAAACTTTCTTTTGAAATGTGCTGAGATTGAACCCAGGGCCTTGTGCATACTAAATATGTGCTGTACAACTGAGCTTATACCCTAATGCTGAAATATTTGAATTTTGAGCATCCTGATACAACTGAGAAATATGCTTTCTTTTCTTTTTTCCCAATATTGGGGATCAAACCCAGTATTCTCACATACATTGTGAGAATACTGGGTTTGATCTACTGCACTATACCCCCAGTCCATAATGTTTTCTTTTTTGTAAAGACAAGGTCATAGAATATATACACTTTTACATCTTGTTCTCACCTTATTATGTCATTCCTAATATTAATGAAAAGATTTTTAAACAACATTTTTAATGCTACATGATTTATTGTGAAAGACTATTTTAATATCAAAAATTGGAATATTAACTGGGCATAGGGGTACCTACCTGTAATTCCAGGTACTTGGGAGGCCTGAGACAGGATTGAAAGTTCAAGTCCAACCTTGGCAACTTAATTCTATCTCAAAATTTAACAAAAAGACTAGGGATGTAGCTCAGTTGTAGAGTGCCAGTGTGTTCAATCCCCACTACTGTCCAAAAATAAATAAATAAATAAATTGAGATATTGAACTTGCTCTTTCCAAGGAAGACTCCAAAACATGAGTACCTGTCTCCAGGAAACTTAAAATCCAATAGGGAAGGACTTAGCTAACTCTGTAGGCAGCATGCTTAACCTACCTGAGTATTTAGTGAGTGAACTAGTGGTTCAGAACATTGTGGACTGAGATATGAGACTCAACTGAATGGTGACAGGTGGAATTGAATTTGGCTGAGTAGAGTAGAAAGGTATTAGATGTGGAGGGAACAGTTTGTACCAGAGCAGGAAATGCCACACATATTTGAGAGAGAAGTCATAAGTCAGAGTAGTTGAAGAAATAGTTTGTGTGGACAGAATCCAAGTAGGAAGAGTACTTAGGGGCAGAACATTGAGGCCTTCAAGACCAGCCAAGTTTACCCTCTGTCCTAGAGGTCAGTATTCTTGATATTCTGGTCCATGACAAGGTTTTCCTGACCTGTTATGAAATGAGAGAAAAAAGGAGGCAGGGGGCAATATAATGGACTCTTCATAATTCAAAATTGTATTTGTGAAAAGGATTATTCTATTCTGAAATAAATCCCTTCCTGTATTTTAAGAGGTAAAAATGTTCCTTTATGAAAGAGTCATGACAGGAGTTTGTTTTCATTTCTTTGCTGCTTTCTTTATTGGTTAGCAATAGCTGATCATTACACATTTTTGAACTGGAAAAGATACCAGCATGCAGAGAGCCTAGAAATGTAAATCTGATGGAATCTTGCAAATTAGATTTTAGATGTTAGGTGAGGATTCCAACTGGAGAGTAGGAATGGAAAGGAGGAGATGGGTGGATCCAAAAGAGACAAAGAAGGACAAGGAAGTGTTAGGGTACTGTTGCTTGGCCAGCAGGAATAGTATTTCAATGGTATTTGGAAGATAATAGTCAAATGCAGTGAACCAGGATAGTAAATTGTAGACTATCCTTAGAATGCATGTTACCATAGCAGGTGATGACTATGCTTCAGAGTCAGACTCTTCAGATAAGGTGTTAAGGTAGTCTGAGCTTTAAGTTTTTGTACGTAAAACTTAACTACTTTAAAGGTGATTGTGAGGATTACACGAGATAATAATGCACGTAAAGCGCTTAACACAGTACCTGACTCCTAAGGGCTCAGTCAATTTTAATTATAGTAGTGCTTTTTTTTTTTCTTTAGAGATTGTTATTTTTTTTATTTTTATTTTTTTTTAGTTGTCCTTTTAACCTTTGTTAGCAGTTGGGAGATTGGTTTGGGAGAGAGAAAAGGGATTAGATATAGGTTTGGAAGTAATCGCCATGGGTTTTCAAGGAGTATTTGGCCTCTACTGACAAGTGATAAAGAAGTAAAGAAAATGGAGATGGGGTGAACCTGCCAGCGAGGAGGCTCTTGGTGAAGTTCAGAAAACGGTTATCCTAGTATAGTATGGATAGAAATCAGATTGGAAAGCTTCCAACAGTACAGGGTTCATGCAGTATTCACACTTGCTAACCCTTGGCAGTAGGGCCTTCTAAAGTGTTTTGGTTTATTTTTCTAACCAACTGACTTTTAAAATGTGTGTGTGTAAGTGTGTATATAGGGATGCACTAGCTAATTAGTACATTAGTTATTAAGTGTTATGAAAAGGCACTCTGAGCTCTGTTATGTATCTACATAATTATTCAGGTAAATGTATTGAGTGAAATAGTACCATAAGCAATAAATTGCTGAACTTAAATAACAGATATTTAAAAGTCAAGTTATTAGATCACTTTAAACATAACCTTCTTTTCTTATATGATTAAGGGATCAAAGATTAAAGGAAAATGACCAGATTTTGGCCATTAATCACACACCACTGGATCACAATATTTCTCACCAGCAAGCAATTGCATTATTACAACAAACGGGTGGATCTTTGCATCTGGTTGTAGCCAGGGAACCAGTCCACACAAAAAGCAGGACTTCTACCAGCTCAGCTGATACAACTCTGCCTGAAACAGTGAGTTGCAAACTTGGGAAAATAATTTTGAATTATGCTATTGGTGATAAGAAGTATATATTCAGGTGTCATTTACTTGTCATGGGTCAAGAGGGATGATCATATCTCCAAGTGCATCATATTTAAGCAAGATGTTTCATGAAGGGCTATTTAGTCTTTTCAATGTCCTGTGGGACTTTTAATTTAAGATTATTATTTAATATAGGGGTCAAATTGAGTGTTAGGTGTAGTTTATTTGGTGGTGGTGTCTTATGTTCCTTTATAGAAAGTTAACTTTATAGAAAGTTAACATTTCAAAAACATTACTTTTATGAATTATAATGGGAGATTATGGGTAGGTTATTGATGCTACAAAATTATAGTAGGTTTTTTTTTTTTTTTCATGTAAGGATATATACTTCACAGTTTGGAAGAAAAAAAGTATGTCTGTTTTAGGAATTTCTTAAAGCTGCTTTGTAACATTTACCAGATTTTGGCCAGCGTCTTCAGAATGCCTGCTAATAAATCTTATTTTCTTATAACACTAAGTGCTAGCTGATTTATATAATTTTCATTCCTCGGGACAAAAGAAAAAAAACTGTCTGGTACATTACAAGGTCACAACACAAATTAAAGTATAGGCATTTTTCCTGTTACACTCTGTAATATTTATACAGCACAATTTACATAATAACTACAATGGACAAAGTGGGACATTGTCTAGCATATAAAGAATAAGGGTGTTGGAGTCATGCATTGGTGGGTTCACGTCCCTTTCTTCCTCTCCTAGTTGTGTGACACCAGCAGGTCCTTGACTTCTCCACACCTCAGTCTCTCTGTTACTTAAAACTAGTAATAGTTGTAAAGATTGAAAGAGGTGTGTGAAGAGCCAAGCGTAGGGCTGGTGCCAGTTAACACTCTGTGAGCAGTAGCTGCTGTCATTGATTCAGGCTTCTTTTTTGGGGGGTGGAGGAGCACCAGGGATTGAACAGGGGTGCTTAACCACTGAACCACACCCCCAGCCCTTTTTGTATTTTATTTAGAGACAGGGTCTCACTGAGTTGCTTAGGGCCTCACTAAATTGCTAAGGCTGGCTTTGAACTCATGATCCTCCTGCCTCAGCCTCCAGAGCCGCTGGGATTACAGGTGGGTGCCACTGTGCCTAGCAAGGTTTCTTCTACTTTTTTTTTTTTTTTTAATTCTTTTAGTCGGTGATGGACCTTTATTTTATCCATTTATTTATAGGTGGTGCTGAGAATTAAACCCGGTGCCTCACACATGTGAGGCAAGCACTCTACCACTGAACCACAACCCTAGCCCCCAGCCAGGGTTCTTATTTTAACAAACATGCTTCCTAGTTACTAGGCATTGTTCCAGACATGAGCTTATTAAATATTCCCTATATTCCTGTTTATTTTAACATTGCATAGTAGTTTTCCAATTTTATGTAATAGAAGAACTAAATAATGATTATGCCCTCATGATCTTGAGAGGGAGACATTGTTCTGCTGTTGGATTATATGAATTTAATGCACATTTCTCATGGAAACCTGCTAGTCGGAGGAAAAGTGCTTATTTCTTCTTGTCTGATTTGTATGATTTTATTAACAATATCTTCAGTTGGGTCTGCCTTTCTTTTCCCTCATTAATGCCTCCTAAATTTGTCTCTTTACCTCATCATGTTCTTACCATTTCATTCTTTACATTGCTGCCAGATTAATTTTCACAAGCCACTGCCTTCTCCTTGTCATTCCATTTTCTAAAACCTTGAATTCCCATTTGTCTTCCCAGTTAACTCAATCTATTGACTGTATCTTTGACCCATTCCACTACCTGGTCCAAATTTGTTCTTGTCTTCCTTCTTTGTAGTGTAGTTTATGTTTTTTTTTTTAATATTTATTTTTCAGTTGTAGGTGGACACAATACCTTTATTTTATTTTATGTGGTGCTGAGGATCGAACACAGTGCCTTACACATGCTAGAACGCTCTACCACTGAGCCACACCCCAGCCATTTCTTATGACTCTTCTCTCCCCCAAACCTCTGAAGTCTTCTTAACATTTTGTGACTTCCAATTCAAGTTAAGGGTTTTTTTTTTTTTTCTCTTCCCTGATGCTCTTTGTGCCTGCTAGGTGAACACACTACTACCAGTACACTTCTATGGAGCCAAATCCCCAGCCCTGTGACTTTCAATTGAAGCAATCACATATTTATTGGTTCCTATACAAGCCAGGCCTTCTGCTAGATTTGGTCATAGACTGGGGAATGTTTCTTGTCCTCTTAGAGCTACAATGTTTTGTCTGATATTCTGCCTTGCATTTTAATTGTGTTTTAGCTTTTTCTCTCCTGGATATAAGATCCTTAGTTCAGGGCCTATAAATTTTAGCCTCTGGATTGCTGCCTTAATTAAGTGTATGAATATTCATTTTCTTGTAAATCTATCATTTTAGTAGTGACTGTATTGGAAAGTTAAGATCTGTGTGTTGTACCAGTATCGTGGTTCTTACTTGCCTTTAATTCATAGGTTTGTTGGGGCCATATTGAGGATGTTGAACTCATTAACGATGGCTCTGGATTAGGATTTGGAATAGTTGGAGGAAAGTCATGTGGCGTAGTTGTGAGGACCATAGTTCCTGGAGGATTAGCTGATCGAGTAAGTTGATTTCCTTTTATCATTTTGGTTTTATAAAATTTAAATTGTATGACTTGAGTTGTAATTTTATAACATGAGTTACTAGGACATATGACTCAATAAGTAGAGTTTAACTACAGCTTAAAAATGGCTTATTCCATAAATACTAACGTGTATTCTGCTTTATTTTACATGGGCAACATTTTTTTGGTGGGTGGGGGGAACAACCTTCTTAAATTTATCAAAGGATAATATTTCTTGTTGAAAATAGTTGTTAGTACATTTTGAACATCTGTATTATTCTCCAGAGTATAATTCAAGGGCATAATGATAAAATCAGAAGGTCTGATGATTATAATAAACATTTCTCCTAATATTGTACATGTAAGATGTCACTTGAATTAAAATTTTCTGCTATTATAAATCAAATCTCTGTCCTTCATTATTTAGCAGTGCTTAAACTGAAAGTGGACCATTTAAAAATTTAGCCATTATTTTTACTTAATTTTAGAGGAAAGAAAATGTTAAATATCACATTTTAAGGGTTTTTTTTGCTACTCCTAAGCTACACACTCAGCCCTTTTAAGTTTTTATTTGGGACAAGGTCTCACTAAGTTGCTGAGGTGGGCTTCCAACTTGCAATCTTCCTGTCTCAGCCTCCCAAGGTGCTGGCTTTATAGGCATGGGTTACCACACTTAGCCATATCAGTTTTTAGAAATTTGATTGTAAACCCACTGAATAAAGAGCTCATATTATGTAGAACATCCATGATAAATCTTAAATAACTGTAATTATTTCCATAATCCAAATAATACATAAAATTTCACTGATAATTGTCCAGGTAGATATAAACTTATCTCTTCTAATAGACATATAAGTGAAAATAAACTTGACAGGGCTCTGGGTATAGCTCGGTGGTAAATTGCTTGCCTAGTATGCAGGAGGCTCTGGGTTTCAACAGCTGCAACACCACATAAAATGAAAAAACAAGAAAACTCAGAAACTTTTTTTTTTTTTTTAAATTTTTTTTTTTTTTTTTTTTTTTTTTTTTAAGTTGTCAATAGACCTTTATTTACATGCAGTGCCGAGATTTGAACCCAGGACCCCCAAGTGCTCTATCACTGAGCCACAACCTCAGCCCCTAAAACTCAGAAACTTGCTGTGCAAATGCAGCTTTGAGATAAGTTCCTTAGCCCCTTGTTTCTGATCAAAATTACTTTTACTATATACAAACTGTGGAATTGTTGATGTTTCCATTGTCCTTCCAGCACCTGAGAGTGTTTATTTAAAGCGGTAGTTCTGATTGGTTGGCCTCTGGGGGTCTTTGAGACTTGCAGGGAGTCTATGAAATCAAAACTATTTGTACAGTAATACTAAGATGTTATTATCTTACTGTGTTATTATAAAATATTATTATCCCCTTTTATTCCATTGACATTTGTACTGATGATTCAGAAATAGTGTTTGACAAGAATTGCTGGTGTTGTAGTGCAAAACAAGGCGGTGGCCTCAATCTTTACTGACTGTCACTGCATTCTTTCTGGCCATGCTCTTGCAACAAGAAAGTAAAAAATTCCAGGTCCATGTATGGTTCTTTATGATGCAGTAGAAACAATACAATTTAGTAAAAAAATTTGACCTTTTGGTACATGTCTATTTACGATTGAAGGACAAAATGGGAGGTATGCATACACTCCTGTGTACCAAAGCATGGTCATCTTGAGAAAAAGCATTTGTGAAGTAAAGAAGCCATTTTTTAAAAACATCCAAATGGGATTTATTTTGAAATTTTTCTAAAAGGATAATATATATAATAAAAATTTCTATAAAGATGATAAAAATGGGCACATAGTAGACTCTCTACAAATAAGTAACAGTATCATTATGCATAGCAACGTTCACTTTGTAATAATCAAATGATATTTTTCTTTTTAAGAAGCCATTTTTCATATGTAACAGCATTTTTTATTTTTGAACTAATAATTGACAGAAAAATTGTGGTTATTCAGACTTAGGTATTTGATGGATATTTCCTTGACAATTAATGAAGTGAACCTATTTTAGGAGAAACTCTTGGTGGTGTTGGCAGTGACAAATTTTTTTTTGTACTGGGGATTGGACTCGAGGGCACTAAGCCACACCCCTAGCCATTTTAAAAATATTTTTATTTAGAAACAGGTTCTTGCTGAGTTGCTTATCGCATTACTAAGTTGCTGAGGCTGGCTTTGAAGTCATGATCCTCCTGCCTCAGCCTCCTAAGTTGCTGGGATTACAGGCGTGTGCCACCGTACTGACGACAATGACAAAATTTCAGCTTTCGAGAAAAATTAAAGTTTTGAAAAATTTTGTTCATGAGCTTAAACTTGCCAGTATTTAAAGAGTTTTTTTGAGTATGTTATTAATGATAGTCACTAATGTGATTTTTTATATGTATAATGAAATATGTCAGTATTTTGGAAGATCTGTATACTCTATGAATCAATATTTTTTGAAGATCAATATGTGATATGACAAAGTAATTTATGTGTAAAAGATCAAAGGGTTTAATGAAACAGTGTCTAAAAGTTTTTTGATGTGGCTTTAGATTCCACATTACAGCTGATCTTAAGAAATCACAACTTGTCAGGTTTGGGTGTGTTATCAAAGAAGAATTGGCTGAAAGGACTATTAAAATACAACTCCCTTTTCCAAGTGTATATCTGATTGAGGCCAGATTCTCTTCATATATTTCAACCCAAACATCTCACAACATATTGAATACTGAATGAGATAAGAGAATCTAGTTGTCTTCTTTTAAGAGTTTTGCACAAATGTGAAAAGTAACACTCTTCTCACTATTATTTTTTGTTTGGGAAAATAAAACTCTTTTTAAAATTAAAAATATATACACTAATTATTTTAATACATGTTACTATATTATTATATATTTAAAAAATTCTTGGAGCTAATTTCTAATTCAGTAGATATTGACAGATAATTCATAAATGAAAACACTGAAATTTTCAGTGTTATATTTTAGAGCTTTACTAATGTAAAACTGACATACAATAAATTGCACCTATATAAAGCCTGCAATTTAATAACTTTTGACATAGGTATATACTTGTGAATTCATTTTTGTCAGAGTTTTTCAGAGAAATAGAACCAATAGGATATATGTATGTAGTAAGAGATTATTTTAAGGATTAGCTCACAGCATTGTAAGACTTGAAATTTATAGGGCAGGCCAGCAGGCTAGAAACTCAGGAATTAATGTAGTTCTGAGTTTGAAATCTCTAAGGTAAACTGGCAAGATATTTAGGAGACCAGGGCAGGATGCTCTCCAGCTGTGAGATGTTACCAGGCATGAGACAGTTTCGTTTCTTCTTTAGGAAACCTCAGTTTTTGTTCTTAATGTTGTAAACTGATTGGATGAGGTTCATTCATATTATCAGTGGTTATTACCCTGAAATCATCTGAGCTATCAGAGACTCAGACCCCAGGGTTTTATTGGTTGTTGATCACATAGCACACACTAGGCACAAACAAGTCACATCTAGTTTGTAGATGAGACTCACATTTACAAAATACCTTTGTAGCAATATCTAGGCTAGCATTTTGCCAAGCAGCTCTATGCTGCACTCTAACCAAGTGACATGTAAAATTTTAACTGTCATGCTGTCCATCACCACTAAGATAATGAACACATCTGTCACTCCAATAGTTTCTTGTGCCATTTCATAATCCTCATCTTTGTGGCCTCAACAATTTTAAACAATGTAAAAGGATCTGATAACAAAATATTCATTTTATGGGTCTTTAAAACACATCTGTGGCACAAAACATAATATTCTTACAGGGGTGTGTGTGTGTGTGTATGTATGTATATATGTGCTGGGAATTGAACCCAGGCTTCTTGCATGTTAACCATGTACTCTACCACTGAGCTACAACTCAGCCCTGAGGGTTTTTTTTGAAAGGATTTTTTTGTAACTAGCAAAGGGATGAAACATTTTGGAGTATTTCGATTCCCACCCACCCCACCAGAAATTTTAATAGGCTTGTTTGCTGGAGTAGTGTTTTTCAAAGTGCAAAGTAGAGTAGTTATTTTGAAAAACAAAGGGTCAAATAAATTTAAATAAAATCAAATATTTTTTTAATATAAGAATTTTCTGGCTTTTTAATGTACTAAGTTGCACTATGAATTTCACAAGGACAATATGATGTGCAGAGTTTCCCAGATTAATTCTATTGACACAATATTGGGAAAAGCCCAAGTCTGATTTTTGCCCTTTACTGGAAGGGATCGTCACTATTTCAGATCATCAAGGAGGGGGTAGGGTTATGCCCATCACAGAGTTGTAATGGAGAAGCAAATGCTTATGGCAGATGTTGTCATCTGCCTAATATACATTATTCTAATGTAATCCTCAGAGCAGTCTTATGAGTTTTATTTCCAAGTTATTGACATGGGGGAACTGTTAAGAAATTGCCCAAGGTTGCATGGCTGGGAAGTGACAAAGTCAAGATAGAGCCCATATCTGTTCAACTATGCTTTGCTGTTTAAGTCTATTTATCAAAAGTTGATCCTAATGCTTTCCTTTTCTTGATGAACACTGTGCAGTCTTGGTCAAATCTATCAACAGAGAATAGCCAGCTCTAAGAAGAGCAGAACTTTTGACTTTTTCTAGAGGGAATAAGGTGAGGTATACACATGAGGACAGTTTTGTGTTTGCTTCTTTATTTCATCTCAGCTGATGGCAGGTAAAATTCCTTCAACCTTATGGCTATAACCCATTTATTTCATGCCTGGCCTCAATTTTTTTTTTTTTTTTCTTTTCAGTGTTAGGCTTCTTATAACTCATGAACTCATTTTGGCTGTAGTCCTTTAATACACCAGTCTGTGGCACAAGATGTGGTTTATACACTTTCTGTTAGCTTCCTCTGGGCAGATTCTTCTCAACTGATCTACATCTTGAGTAAGCATCTCTGAAAGGAAAGAGCATAGCATCATAGCATGGGAGCATTAGATTCAGATAAA